TTGCCGCTTCGAAGAGGAATTCTGTGTGCTGTAAAGAAAGGAAGAGATTCAGAGGAACTTCGAGGAGTTTTCTTGGGGCGAAATTAAATATAAGTTTATTTATTGTTGTAATTGTATGACTTTGCTTTTATATATGAATTCTGAGTTTTGTTGTGTTTTCTCCATGAGATCTGAATAGTTTTCTCTGTCTTTCTCCTTGTCTTGAGATTTCTGAAACGGTGATTTGAATTGGTGGAGTCATGAAAATGTTAAAGAAATTGTGATGATCTTCTCACTTCGATCTTAATTTACTTTCAATCTAGCTCATTGATTTGTTAAAATATATTGAGTTTTACAACTAAAGTGAAGATTACATCCAGGATTCAGGGGGGTCAAAGCCCTTGGAAGTTGGGTGCAAATAAATAGGGAAATAAAATTATCGGGCGTAGAATTGGAGATTTTAGAGTGACAGACTAAAATCCCAAATTCGGTTCTATCGTTTGGGTGCTAAAGTGTAGATGTTAGCCCTCAGGCGAGGGGAACGTGGGAGATCCGAAGTGAGAGCCGGTATCCTCCCAGCCTAGCCGCAGATTCAGTAAACAAGTGTAGGATTAGTTAATGTTCTTTATGCCTGGATCAAAGGGTAAAGAATATGTATGCTTCTATTTGACACAATATAATTTGAACTGATTCACTTTATCCATTCACTATAATTTCTTGATAAGGAGAATGATGTTTTCTTATATATTGAATATCTCATTTGAACCTTCATTAGTATATATAGTTATTTAATAGTTATTAAAATTACATATTTATTTCAATTGACTATTAGTGACAGATAAACAAATTGAACTTCGTTGTTGCAATTAAAGTATTGCTTTTCTAAAATCTTAGTTCTTAGTTCTAATATTACTCCTTGTGGGATTAATATCTAAGACTCCATTAGAGCCTTACATTACTTGAGCGATACGTATACTTGCGTTGATAAATGTGAATTTACAATCATTGAATATTTAATATGTCCATATTTATGTTATGTTTTATTGCATATATTATTAAGTTTACAGTTGCTGAGGAATAAATATTTTAGCAGCAGTATTAAATACTTATATTTTTAAGCATATATAAAGTCGCGGTCACTTACCAAATTTATTCTTATGATTTCTCAAATATATATGTCATGACTCTGGGTAGTCAGCTTAAAAATTTCGTTAGTGACATATGTCTAATGATATATTTTGAAAGTTGAAAGAAATTGAAGAATTAACATTAAAAAATAGTGAAAAATAAAAAAATATATATTATTTATCTATTAATATACTTACTTTTTAAACTTGCTTTGATATTCACAATTATTATAAAAACAAGTGAACGACTTTTCTTCGCTACAATAATTGTAAAGAATCACTTAAGCAATTGTTTAGGGTTTAGGAAACTATCGATGAACGGTTGAATGATTACCTTTAATAAAAACTAAAATTTAATAGTTTTGATGGTAAAATGATCATATAACTGTCTTAATTTTTGAAAACCTGGAAGGAGTAATTATAAGTAATTTTTTTTTTTTAAACTTTTTTAGCATATGTTTACTTTTTTATATTAAAACTTTTAAAAAAAAAGCTATCAATGGGACTTTCAAATTTGAATGAATATGATTCAACAAATTTTTTAAATTATTATTTTATATCTTCACTAATTTTTTTTTTCTAGCTGCACCACTAAAATTAGAGTGGATTTTTTTTTTGGTAGTTGCAGAGCAAAGTATATAAGTTGCCTATCTCTTCTATCCTGTTGTCTTCATTTTCACCTAATTTTCTTCGTCTCTTTCTTCACCGCCATTCTTATTCTATTTGAAGGGACATATGTTGAAGGTTGAAAGTGATGATTGCTAATGTTGGAGCTTAGTCAAGTACATTGAACTTCTTTATCATTCAACCAATCAATGATTTTAAAGTTATCTTAGGGCTAAAATTGTAGCATCAAGTAAAAGCATTCCTAATGTCCTTCGCCAATAGCATGTGAAATATGGAAGGAAATCAATCATGCATAGTACCAATAACAAGAAGCAACAAGCAAGAAGTTAAGTTTTTATACATTAACCATCCAATTTAAGAAAGGCATCCAATGAGATGAAGAAAGATACTTATCTATTATTCATGACTTAGATGATGAAGAATCAAAGACCAAAGAAGACATGATAAGGGAAGTTGTGGTGTGACTTGAGGAATTTAAAGATGTTTCACATATAGAGTTACCGAAGCAACTACTACGTAGAAATGAGATAGACCATCACATTGAGCTGAAGCTTGAGACTAAGTTGCCAGCCATGGAAGTGTACCATTTGACATCCCTTTCCCTTACAACTAATTATGAGGGAAAAAACCTCGTATCCATCAAGTTTTTGATGGCTTGGAGTAAACAAGGGAGTTGGCTCGAGCCACACTATATAAGACTGTAAGAAGGATGAAGAAGTGGGTCGACAAGAAAAGGAGACAGTTTAAAGAAGGAGATCTAACTGCAATAATTCAAAAGACTTCTAAATGTACATACGGGATTAATATGAAGATATGAAGGGTATTTTGAAGTGATAAAGAAAGTAAAAAGTATCCTACAAACTCAACCTCCTACCAAAACTGAGAATACTTTTGGTCTTAAAGCTATATCATAAAAAAAAACCCCATCAAGAGGAGTTTCTGAAAAAGCAACAATAATCATAATCAATTCATTTGATAAACATGTGGACGAAATACAAGTTGATCCACTAACAAAAGATACCAAATTATAAGCAGTACCTCATCAATCTAAAAGACTACCTGACAGTGAAGCCAGCTGGGAACATGAAGCCACATTATGAAGTTTAAAGAAAAGAACATCAAGAAGAAAGCACAATAAGGGCATTGCGAGTTTAGGTGGTGCAGAGTGTCACACGCCGCCATCTCAAGTGAGGTTAATCATGTCTCTTCAACCATGGGAAAGAAGATTCTAGAGAAGAACTTAAAGAATATCAACTTAAGAGAGTCTAGAAGGTTCCGCCATATTCTAGAGAGCATTGGGAGAGGAAAGCTTCAAGAGAAACTAGAGTGGTCTGGAAAGTTCTAGAAACATGTGTATAATATAGAAACATCTAGAAGTTGAAACTTTCTAATAAAATTTAAAAAGTTCTCTGGGTCTTGAAGGAGGACTATTAATAGAGGTCCCTCCCCCTCATTTGGAATAACCCAAAGTTCCAAAGTAATTATGTTAATAAACATTCATCCCTTGGTGAAGTGTTCTCTGATTTCAATAATCTCTTTTTATATTTTTCTAAGGTAGTTTTTATTCTTTTAAGTCCATGAGTTGTAAGGGTTAGGTTGAGCTAGCACTTCAAAAGAGTGCTAAGGCCGCACGAGTGACTTGAGAAAAAAATTTCCATGATTTATGCCTCTAAATGACTAGAACACTAAGTGACAATAATAGTTTTGATACAATACATTAAATGTTTAAAATTGTAGCAAAAGGAAGTCTTAATTATTAATTTTTTCGGCCTGAAAACAAAAAATAACAACAACTAGTGTAGTGAATGAAACAATGAAGCTAATGAGCCATTTGGACTATGCTCAATTAATACTCGATTAAATTTGTTCAAATTAGTTAATAAAAATGAAGTATTTTCTTAAAATCTTGAAGATTAAATGAATCAGACATCAAAACAGTCCAACTCATTCATTTATGTTCAGACTTATTTATTATTCAATAAGTAATATGTTAAATACTATGTTAAAAATTTGATGATAGCTTATATCATATGATAAAATTTGATTAATTAAAACTAGTTCATTTATTTAATATTAATATAATATGTAACAATATGCATTATAATTTAATACAATTTATAATTTATTTATTTCATTAAAATAATTTATTAGTACTTATACATATTATTTAATTAAAAAAATCTTAGTTTCAACTTATATATTCTATTATTTAGTTGATTTAAATTAATTAGATACTATTTCAAAATTATTCAATTGTTTTTTTTTAAGTTTATAAAATTATTTATTAATAATCTTCCATAAAAAGTCAAATAATCATTCAAATTTCTTGTTGATTTCTTAACTCATTAATTTCTCATTCATTTAATATAACTAAATCAAGTAGAAGTAAAATAGTATTTTTAAAAATTTAAATCATGTAAAATAAAAACATATACGTGTGAGCATGGCTGGAGCTTGACATGAGCATTAACCACATATAATATAATACGCTCTATGCCCCTCAATTATAGCTCTAATAGCAGAAGAAACTAGTACATACTTTAATTAAGTATGTGCGGACAATCGTGGATAAGAACGAACAGATCTATATAGTAAATTAAAAAAACTAATGAATCTCAAGTAAGTATGCCAGTCAAATCACCAAAGTACACCCTTATCCACAATCATTGAAGCAGAGACAAAGGAAAGAAAGAATTATCCCTATGATATGACATCAACAATCAAGTAGCAAATGCTGTGGCTCAAACCCACACTTCACCCTATTATATACTCACATATATCACCAACATAAGAAAATATACATAAACATACTAAAATATACATAAACATAAGAAAAAAAAATACTAACTTTGATCACCAAACATCTATAATAACCAACCAATACCTTCTCCTTCATGACAACAGATCCGGAAAGAGCTTATAACAATTACTACTCTGCATTCTGCACTGCTCTGTTTGCTGCAACTGCTTGGAACAAGAGGAGGTTGCAGGGATCATCTCTTCTGTACAAACATGGCGGCTGAACTCTGAGAGCATCTGGACAACTTCTCTCATCGTCGGCCTCTCTACGCTGTTCTCCTGGACGCATAGAATGGCGATGAAGAAGACGTGCATGGCTTCCTCTACTGGCACAGAGCCGAGCCTTGAATCCAGGATTGTGTCAACGTTCTGTTTTCCGCCATTTGTGGTCTTCTTGACCCACTGTACTATGTCGACTCCGTCGCCGAAATCTCCAACGGGGCGGCGGCCGGTGATCAGCTCTAGGAGAACTACCCCGAAGCTGTAGACGTCGCTCTTCTCGTCCACTTTCAGCGTGTAGGCATACTCTGTATTTAGGAGATGTAGATTGGTACTCAGTAAAGTCTTGTGTAATACAAATATGATGTCTTATTACAACAAATTTAGAGCAATATAAGTTTATTTACTATATATATATATATATATATATATATATATATAAAAATAAAACAAAAAGAAACAACTAAAGCCTCCAACCACTTTTAATGTGCAAAAAAAAAATTGAGTATCAACCTCCTTAAGACTCACGTCTCCAGAGAGAGATTTTAACTCCCGACCTAAGCGGTCTTACACCAATGATACCAACTAACAGACCGAGATATGCGGCGAACACACACACCCATCTTGCGCCACGTACTCAGATCAATTGGTTTGGCATCTACTTGTCAGTTGTAAGTCCTCTCTTGTTTGGGGTTCGATTCCCCCCAAGTGTAAGGTGTGGTGCTCGAATTCTTAAGCGCATAAAGGATGGTCAGGGCTCGGATAATAACCTCCATATTATTACGATATTAAGAAAAGACACTCCATGCAAAAACATGGGATGAAATGACGTGCATCAAGAATAAAATCATACATAAAATAGTACTAAAGGCAAAACTTTCTCATAAATCGATTACCTTAATTAGCAAGAGAAATCATAAACTAATAATCAACCAACTTTCATTAAAAGCAAGCTTGCACAAGAAGACAATTAATTAAACAAAATTTTACATTTTAAAACAACTTTTAAGACATTGCTTGATACCTTCATATCTAGAATCCAACATCCCTTACTGCTTTAAAGAATAAAAACTTCAGCTTTTGACCATGCCTTCAACATGGCAAGTATTTGTTTGTTGTGGGGGGGGAGGGGGATTTATTAACACATAAAACAGTGTTTTAAGCACTTTAATAAGTATGATTAATGCTAAAAATATTCGTACGATCAAAGATATAGTTTCATTGTATTAAGTAATTCATTAAGCATGGTCTCCGGAGTAATTAATCTTAATTAATCGCACAAATCTTTCTAATCCCAAGGGAAGCAAATCAAACGAGAAAAAAAATATTACATCAGAATTGTTAATGTAGAGCTACGTTCGAAATCTACTGATATGAGGGCGCATGGAGATGACAGAACAATTAAAAAAAAATGTTTTAGTGCAGGAGAATATTCTTCTTGTGTTATTCTGCATTATTCAGGTGTTATTGTGTTGGTATTCATGTCTTATTGTGTTATGAGAATATTCTCGTTGTTATAATAACACAATAAGACATGAATAACATAAAATAACACAGGAGAAATATTCTACAGTGTTATGGGGCCGGATCACAAAAAAATACGAGCGTTTTTTTGAAATCATATGTCCGCATGTCAGCAGACTCCTATGCCAAAAATTTAGATTTAATATTTTTACTGTCCTCCTCCTCCGCCTTAACAAAAAAGTCAGCGCCCTGTCACTGCTGACTCAGACTTCCACAGCATCCCTGTACGGTTTCCCGAACCGAAACAGACGGGCTGCGTCCGGTCTGTAACGGTGGGCCCCATAACTTCAACGACCGGTCCTTCTCACCCGGGTCCCACCGGTTTTATGGCGCATCGGTGGGCCCGTATATATCACAGTACCCCCATCCTTATACCGTTTTACCTAAACCGAAGGTGAAATTTGCAGTAGTAGCAGGAGAAAATCCTGACCGTCCAAGAAAATAGGAATGCGTACCTGGAGCAATGTAGCCGTAGGATCCGGCAATGGCCGACATGCACTCGGAGGCGATACCGTCCGGAAGGAACCGGGCGAGTCCGAAGTCTGCCACGTGGGCCTCAAGATGGGAGTCGAGGAGGATGTTGTTGGCTTTAACGTCGCGGTGTATGATCATGGGGCAGCAGTCGTGGTGAAGGTAACATAGACCCCTGGCGGACTCTAAGGCTATCCTGTACCGCCGGTCCCACTTAAGGAAACCCCCGCGCTTCCCGTGGAGCACCTCACCCAGGCTGCCGTTACTCATGTATTCGTACACCAACACGTTGGTGTGCGAATCCGAGCAGAAGGCCAGTAATCGGACGATGTTCCGGTGCCGGATTCTCCCCAGAGTACGAATCTCGGCGCGGAAACCGTGATCGTGACCGTTTGTTCCGAACCCCAGCAGTTTCTTAACTGCGATGGCGTCACCGGTCGGTGAGCGTCCCAGATACACCACCCCGGCTCCACCTCTCCCAATCTCGTTTCCTTCTTTCATGCTCTCCACCACTTCCGTTACCACGAAACCCACTTTCTGGAACGCGGTCATCTTCCACGGTGCGGCGGCGGCGGCGGTGGTGCGGCGGTGGGTTCGTACCTTTGAGGCGGCCGCGGCGGCGAAGAAAAGGAAGCAGATTAGGAGGCCGACGGCGAAGATGAGCTTGAAGTCAGTCGGGAAACGCCGGAGATGAGGAGATGGTGTTGGTGCTGCTGCGGAATGGATGCATGGGTTGCTGATTGCAGCGCCGCATAGGCGGGGGTTTCCGGCGAAGGCTGATGCGTTGAGGAAGGCGAGCTGGCCGGAGTCGATTAAGCGGCCGGATAGATCGTTGAAGGAGAAATCGGCGGCGGTGAGGCTGGAGATGGAACCGATGGAGCTGGGGATGGAGTCGGAGAGGTGGTTTCGGGAGAGATTTAGGTAGCTAAGCACGCTGAGGGAGGCGATTTCTAGCGGGATGCGGCCGGAGAGATTGTTTCCGCTTAGATCGAGGTAGGTCAGTAGCGCGCATTGTCCGATTTGCGAGGGTATGTCGCCGGATAGTTGGTTCCGGCTAAAATCCATTTTCTCTGCTCGTTGGAGGAGCCCGATGTTTAGTGGAATCTCACCGGAGAGTCGGTTGCTGCTGATGATTAGGGTTTCGAGAATTGATAGGTTTGAAATTGAAGCTGGAATTGGGCCGGAGAGAATATTGTTTGATAGATTCAAAACAGTCAATTGAGATTCCCTTCTTCGTTCACGATCGGGGTTTTCAGAAATCGTTCCGGAGAGGTAATTGTTGTGAAGTTCTAATAGATCGAGATGAGGAAGGTAAATTAACCCTAACGGGACGCTTCCATTGAAATAATTCTGCGCAAGTCTCACCCTCGTCAAGCTCAAGCACTCCCCTAAAGTCTCCGGCAGGGGGCCGAAGAGAAAATTCTTGAACAGAATTAGAATTTTGAGTTGGTTGGAGGGGCAGAGTTCCTCTGGTATAGTTCCGGTAAGCTTATTTGATGAAATATCCAGCACCTGGAGCTTCCCGCTGGAGCCAAGCTTCTCTGGTATCACGCCGGTGAAATTGTTCATGAACAGCTCCAGAGTCTCCAGCTCCGGCAAACCGGCGATGAACTCCGGTATCGAGCCGTGCAGCCTGTTCATGAACAGATTGAACAAACTAAGCTTAGTGAGGCGGGCGAATTCCCGAGGGATTTCACCGGTGAGCGCATTGTTTGAAAGATCGAGGTAGTCGAGCCTCGTTAGATTCCCGAGGGCCGCCGGAATCTCGCCGGACAAAGCGTTGGTGTGGAGGTAGAGCGTGTCGAGGTTGATCAAATACCCCAATTGATCAGGAATAAGGCCTTCGATCCCGCAGCTGGAGATGTCGAGGTGAACAAGATCGCCGAGCTTGCCGAGCTCGGCTGGTATCCCGCCCTCAAACGCATTGAAATAGCCCAAATAGAGATAATTCAGCTTTGTTAGGTTTCCGAGCTCGCCGGGTATTCTCCCTCGGAGATCGTTTCCGGTGAGCGAGAGCGACTCCATTGCCACCATTTTTCCGTAGCTTGAAGGAATCCTTCCATAGAAGAAGTTTCCCCCGAGATCGAGATACCGAAGCCTCTGAGAGTTGGTAACGCTGAGCGGGAGCGGCGCGGTGAAGTTATTGTCATATGCATCAAAAACCTCAAGATTCGGCATCCCAGAGTAGTCCATCTCGAGGTTGCCGGAGAATTGATTGCCGGAGATATTGAGGTATCGAAGATTCGGAAACTTGGACAGGGTGAGGAAGCCGTTCAGCTTATTTCCGGCGAGGGAGAGTTTTATGAGTGAATCAAGGCCGGCGAGCTCGACTGAACCAGAGATGTTAAGATTGGAGAGATCGATGGCTGTCACGCGGCGGCCATCGCAGCTGACACCCGCCCACGAGCATACGGAGCTGGGATTCGAAACGTTCCAGGTGTCGAATACTGAAAGCGGGGAATGAAGGGTTTTTCTAAGGGAAGCTAGGGTTTTGCCATCTTCGAGCAAAGGAGTGCAGGTGATGTAGGTGAGAAGCGAGGTGGGGAGGAGGAAGAAGACGAAGAGAGTATGAGACATTGAGTTGATTGAGCTTTTCATGAATACATTGTGAGTGGCTGGCTGGCTGGCTGCTAAGTTTATAATTAGTGAAAGGAAAAGGCGGGGAATCTCAGAAACTGAGTGGCTCTGAGAACAAAGTCTTCAACTTTGAGGAGTCTTCTCCTAGAAGAGTAAGGGATGATGCGAAGAAGAAGAAACTGGGCTCTGATTCTGACAAGATGCTGGAGAGCTCGGCATGGAGAAAAGGGGGAGCTTTTAAAGCAGGATGTAACGGGAAAAAACAAAACAGCCGTTGGGATAACAGTAATTTAAATCTTTTTTAGATTTTTGAAAGAGTATAAAGCGACCGTTCATGGATTCTTTAGCTTTATTCGATCAAGTGAGCCCGGTGGGGGTAAAAGGGGCATGGTTCGATCGCTCTATTGATCTTCTTTAGAGGTAAGGTGAGTTGGAATATATGTACAGCTGATAAATTTATATTTTAAGAATGGCAGTAAGGCGAAAGTCTGGTTTTATCTGATAAATTCAGATTTTTAATAGATTTAGTTGTGTTTCAGTGAGGTTTTGGGCTTGATTAAAGCTAGCTATATATAGAGTTGTGGCTCAGTCTATTATTTTCTTTTTGGGGCATTTACATACATAACCCGCACTTCTTGTTAAAGTCGAACGAGGAAGAGAGGAAACAGAGAATTGGTGCAGAGGAGAAGATAGAGGAAAGGGATTCAGTAATTCATTCCATTCATGAAAACTATGTGTATACAAAGAGGGTTGATATATATATTTGCGTATAACTAATAATATATTTTCTGCCAGAGACGGTTAGGATATTGGACCGTATGGAGTGAGCTAGTGGTTGAGGCGTGCGAAGAATGAGAAGAGAAACATTACCATAGAACTGAATTTGATTATGTGGGTATTACCCTCTTGTAAGCTGACGAGTCTCGATGATGAATTGAAGCTTGGAGCAAAGATGTTGGAAGCATTGCTTGTGCAATGATTTGGTGAAGATATTAGTTGTTTGATCCTGGGTGTGTAGGTAATGTTGTTGAAGATTATCGTAGTTAATGTGTTCACGAATGAAGTGGTAGTCAATTTCAATATTTTTGGTGCATGTATGAAAAACAGGGTTGTTGGCGATGACCATAGCGGATATATTGTCACAAAAGAGGGGTGTAGGATGATCCAGTTGAATACCCAATTCGACGAGTAAACGACGAAGCCATATAAGGTATGTTGTTGCAGCTGCAAATGCACAGCATTCAGCTTTTGTGGAAGAGCGAGCGATCGTGAATTGTTTCTTGACGGTCCATGAGATTGATGTTCCTTCCAAAAAGATACAAAAACCGGTAATGAGTCTGTGGTCAGATGAGTCTACAACCCAATCTACATCGGAGCAAGTTTGGAAGGTGAGGTGCACGTGTGATTCGGAGAGCGAACCTAATTGAACCTTTAAGATACCAGAGCAAGTGTTTAAGAGCCTCATAATGAGAATTTTGCAGTGTGTGCATATATTGGTAGAGAAAATTGACAGCAAAGGCTATATTCCGTCTTGTAATTGTAAGGTATTGAAGGGCCTCAATGATCTTCCTGTATTCAGTGAGATTATCAAATAATTTGTTGTTAACAACATTTTTTGGCCGGTAGAGGAGTTGCAACAGATTTGGATTCAACCATGGTAGTGTCTTGTAGGATGCACTAGATGTATTGTTGTTGAAATGGAAGCATGAATTGCGGTGTGCGATTCACTTATATGCCCAAAACTTTAGATACTCAACCCAAGTATTTGATTTGGAATGTAGTTTGCAGCTGTTGGATGATGTTATCAATAACAATAGTGTTTTCTCTTTGATTACCTTGTTGTTTACATATATTAAGATGAAGAGTTGACGTGTGGTTGTTGTAGAAATTAGCAGCTATGGATCGGCTTTATTGATATGAAAGCCCAATTTAATAAAGAAGGCATAAATAGTGGCGAACCATTGATGAGGTGACTGTTTTAGACCGTATAAGGCTTTCTTGAGCAAACACACATGATTAGGGAATTGGGGATCTTTAAAGCCTATCGTTTGTTGGATATTGATTGTGTCTTCAAGGCTTCCATGAAGAAAGACATTCATAATGTCATATTGAAGTAGTGGCCATTGTTTGTTAAAGGCGAGATTGAAGAGAGTGCAGATGGTGTTCATTTTGACTACCAGACTAAATGTCTCCAAGTAATTTACCCCAAATCACTATTTATAGCCTTAAGCTACGAGGCAAGCCTTGTACCTAGCCACTTATCCATCGGGATGAAATTTGATACGAAATGTCAATTAACATCCAAGAATCACTTGATTCAGAGGAGGGGGAACTAAGTCCCATGTAGCATGCACTTGTAAAGCATGGAATTCTTCGATCATGGTTTTTAGCCAATGGGGTAGTTTGACTGCTAGAGTGTATGAGGTGGGGTCTGATGTTTGTTGAAGGTGGTGAGAGAGATTAAGTTTCTGTATAGGTTTTGTCTGTCTGGTTTTTGAGCAGGTGAGCATAGAATGGGGGATGTGGGGCAGTGGGAGGTTGTTGTTTGCTGAAGGGGCTTGTGTTGGTTGTAGACTTGGGGAGGATGTGTTGAAGATGTGGTGTTGTGGGGGAGGTATGTAATGGGAGGGAAGGTGTAGGCAGTGTTGAATTGGCTGGAACATTGGAGATTGGTCCAAGTAGGAGAGGGTCAAGCTGTTGTTCTTGAGGAAAAGGTGGGATAGTGGAATTTTTGAATGAAAAATTGTCTTCATAAAATAAAATGTGGTGGGATAACACTATTTTGTCGGATTCATAGTTGTGGCATTAAAATCCTTTGTGGGTCGGAGAGTAACCCAAAAATACACAAAGAGTGGAGCTCGATGCAAGCTTGTGAGGTGTCATATGTTTGAGCTATGTGTAGAAACAATAACTGAACACTTTTAGATGGGAATAGGCTGGGGGTTGCTTATAAAGTCGTTCATGGGGAGAGAGAGAATTGTTATGCTTTGATGGCGTGCGATTAATTAGATAGAGGGCTATTTGGAGAGCATCTTCCCCTGAATTTGAATGGAACTGAGGCATCGTGAAGAAGCATTATAGTGATTTCAAAGATGTGACGATGCTTGTGTTCGACGACGTTGTTTTGTTTGGGCATATATGGGCACAAAAATTGGTGACAAATGCCTTTGTGTGATAAGAAGGAATGGAGGTTGGTTTTATTGTATTCCCCGTTGCCATCAAAGCAGAGAATGCAGATTGTTGTTTGAACTTGGGTTTTAATTATCTTTATGAAGCTTATGCATTTTTGAGTTGTTTCTAATTTGTGGTGCATTCAAAATAACCAACAGAGTTTGGAATGATAATCAGTGAAAACAACATAATAGTGATATCCTTGATTAAATAGAATTGGGAACAATCTCCATACATTCGAGTGAATAAGTTGAAGAGGTATATAAAAATGCAAAGATATTGCAGGAAAAATATAATTTTTGACTATTGTTACAAATAAAACTTGCACATGCCCATGAGTTTGTTTAAATTGCAAGAGAAGATTTGTTCTTTGAGATTTGGCGGAGAACTTTTGAGTGAGAATGTCCTCGCCACTTATGTCAAGTGAGAGAAATTTTTATGGTTGTAGCAAGAGCTTATGAGGCGCTTTCGAATGGGAGTTGGGTGTCATGGCATGAATTAGGTAAAGCTCTATCGAATTGTTGCCCCGAAGGATAACTCGATTTGTCAGAGAATCAACAATATGAAAACCTGTAGAATTAAATATGATATAGAGGTTATTGTCTACAGTTAATTTTTATACAAATAAGAGATTGTGAGTTAAAGAAGGGGTATACCAAATGTTAGAAGTAAAAACTTACACTCGAGTGTTGGGAGAATGTTGTCGCCATACTTTTGGATGGGTACTGACTGCCCATTGTTGACAATGACTTGTTCATTTCAGGTAGTTGGGATGACTATTTGAAGGTTGTTGAAATCTGATGTTAAATGTCTTGTTGCGTCAGTGTCGAGAACCCACGACATAGGTGAGGCTTGCAATGCTCGATTGGATGGTATATGATCAAGGTTTGAATGATGCCAACATGCGGCGGCAGAGTGACCCGTATTATGGCAGATTTGACAGATCGTCCACATTTAGTTTATGAATTTGGTTGTTGACTCCTACATCTACTACGAGAAGCAATCCAGTTGCGATTACATGTGGCTACAAGAGACAAGTGAGGGTTGACTGTTGGTTCGGCCTTGAGATTGTCTTTCATTTAGCTAATCTCTTCACTACATAGTAGGAAGTAAAAGTTGTCAAGATACATATGTTGTAATTGAGTCTGAATGGCAATTTTGAATGACTGATTTTGCGTTGATAGTCCATTAAGTGTGTAGAGAATTACGTCCGCGTTATCGAGATGGCCATTGACGACTGAAATTTTGTTAGACACTATTTTAATTTTGGTTAGGTATTGTGCCATGGTTTGGTTGCTCGTTGTTATAGTGTGGAGCTCATTTTGAGCTGAATTAGTCTGGATTGGTTGGTAGGTTGGAAATTGTCAGCCAAACTTTGGCTGTGGTTTGTAGATTGAGAATGTATAGTAAGATCGCTAGTGAGATGATCAATTAGAGAGCCATCGTTAGGTTTTGGTTCACCAGAATCCACATACTATAGTGAGGGGTTGGAGTAGTGTCTTCGGAAGTGAGAAATTTAAGTGTGCAAGGGTTGCTACCATCCATGAATCCGAGAAATCTATTGGCAGAGAATATTTTGACAACTTGAGCTTTCCACAGAGGATATTTGTCGGAGAAGAGTTGAGTGTGAGTAATATTCTTCATATTACTCATGAGAAATTTGAGATTAGAAGAAATATCGAGAATGTTGCTTGCTTGTCCGTCATTGATTGAAAAATTGTCGTGGATTTCTAATGTTTGTGAGGAGGCCATTGTTGGCACAGTAGTATTCAAAGTAGAGGGGGAAGGATCGAAGCTTGTTAGAGTAATGAAGGCTCTGATATCATAAAGCCGAATGAGAAAGACAGGAAGCAGAGAATTAGTGCAGAGGAGAAATATAGAGGAGAGGGATTCAGTGATTCATTCCATTCATGAAAACTATGTGTATGCAGAGAGGGCTGCTATATATATATGTGAATAACTAATAATATATTCCCTGTCAGGGACGGTTAGGATGTCGGACCGTATGGAGGTAGGTAGTGGTCCATACGTGCGAAGAATGAGAAGAGAAACATTACCATAAAAGTTAATTTGATTATGTGAATATTAACTGTGTTTATATTTTTAAACCCTAGATTTTGTTTTTTTTTTTACATTGATACCATCCAATTTATTCATATCACATAAAAAAATATCACTATTTTAACTTTTAAAATGTGAAACACACATTTTTATGCATAGATAATGTGACATATATGTAAAAAATAAAGTTTAGGTGTCAGATATGGAAGTACGTAAGACATGAGTGATTGTATGTAAATCTTCCTTTTTTTGATTGATATATGAGGTTCTTTACATTGAAATTTTATTTAGTGTTATGTTTGGTCCTTATCAGAATTTAAAATGGCAAATACTATAATTTATATGATTTGAAAGATAAATATACTATCAAATTTTATGGAGTATAATGTTGGAGACATAAGATAAAATAAATTTTCTTTTTGTGAAAACTACTATGGGGTGGAACTTCTTCTTATTACATTTGTAGCAATATTTCTCTCAAGGAAATTAAAGGAGGAGAAGAAAATTTCTCTCATAAACTATTCAAGAACAAAAGTAATGGATCTTCTTAAACCCTTGTCATCACACTTTGAAGAAGAAGAGCTCTATCCCTACACACTTAATTGTTCTTATTGCCAATTGAGAAGGTCATCAAAACATTACTTTAACTCTTCTTGAATCACAAGAACCTTAATAAAACTAGAAAGACGGAGAATAAAGATGTATTGGATGAGGGAAGAATACTAGAAGATGTTAGCTTCAAGAGCACAATACTCAATTTGTAAGATAATAAACATATGTCTGGAAGCAGTAAGGTCTATATTAAGTGATTTTTAGCATTTGGAGCTTGGATGGTATTTGATGGAAGTGAATGGATTTGTTGGATATGGAAGAAAGTCAATGGTAAGCTTAGGAACTTCAAATCAATATTAATTGAAGCTTAGAAATATATTTAAGGGTATGTTTTTGTCCTTAGAGTTGGAGCACAAGTTGACGTCATTCTCCTCATTCATTTCATTAATAGGATACTACAAGTTACTATCAAATTCATCATATAATAAATAAAAGTAATACTTTTCTTTATCTCTTAAACTTCAATATATCATTGTCGGCACTATTTTTGGTGTGGGGTTTGCCCGTAAGAAGCTGTCGGCCATCGGAATTGAAATCCCGTTGCCTGCTTCGGAAGGACGTTTCAAAAAATTTAGTTTTGAAAAAGATGAAGTCAAACTGACCCCATAATTTTCCTAGTTTAGATGAAAGAGCGCTTTATCTTAAATCATGTATCTATCCCGAAGGATGAACGCAAGAATTGAGAGTGAGGCTCGATCAAATAAACTAAAGAAAGTTATGACATCCGTTTGGTCTGCGAAACCAATGTATTGGCCGACAAGTTCCCCTATTTAATATAAG